AAAAATAAAAAAAAAAACATAAGTGGCACACAATATCACTTTGAAATGGCGTGCTATAGATATGACCGATACTGTACCTACACTTTTAGATTGGTTTTTTTTCGAAAAGGTGACCAGCCTAATTAAAGATATTTTCAAACTAAAGCTTTCATTAATTTCTTTCGATTCACACCCATATCTAAATATTTCCGAAAACTTGTGTATACGATAATTAAATTCGACTTTTCAAACAGACTTTAGTCTCTTAAATCTCTTTCGCCTGACATTGTGATACACGTGTGTTTCAATAGCAGGTGAACTAATTTGAATTTGATTGTTCAAACACGTTGTAACCCTCCTAAATAAAGGTCAGAAATAAAGAGTTTTCAAACCCGTCCTTTAATAATTCGCCGAACTTATTGAATAATTTGAATGTAACTTTTTAAATACGTGGTAGCCCTCTTCAAACGTTCCAAATGTTTAGACTAAATATTTCTTAACACTCTTTCGTTTTATTCCCGTATTTATATATTAAAAATAGTCTTTGCGTTGAAAATAAGATTTCTTAACACACTTTCGTTTGACATTCATATTTTAATTTTTCATATAATTTGTGTATAAGTTAACTAAATTCGACATTTCAAGCAGGTGGCAACCTTGCTCAAAATATTTGCAAACTATTACCTTCTTAAAAACATTTCGTTTGGCACCCATATGGTGATACATATGTATGTACATGAACGAAAGACACAAGATCACGTAAGAACAAGAGAGTGAAAAAAGTCGATTTTTTAGCGGGTTCTACGCCATTTTGTTTCAAGCTTTTCAAAACCATCTCGATTAATACCAGTGTGCAAACCCCTTTATATTTTAGTGTGGTAGAATCGACAAAAAATGTGGTAGATTTGAATAAGATGTGGTAGATTTTCCAATTCATATTTTTATTGGGTATACATATCGCACACCGTCGTCAAAAGAGGCACAACTCAAAAATTAGATCGGGAAATATATGTGCTAGTGTTATATTGTGGTGCTAGTGGATCGTACAGATTCAACGCAATTGATGCTAAAACAAGCATAACATTAGTTTTCTAGTTAGAGAATATAATTATGGAGAAAAAAATATTTTCATTAATTTGAGAAATATCCTACAGATTGATTTATGTAAAAAAATAGACTAAGTTATTTTTTCATTGCATAATACTTTAGGATATATAAATATGCGGATTTTTGAAATATTAAAAATTTAAGGCACAGATATATTTAAAACAATATTTTATGATTAACTTTTTAAATATTTATTGGAGTTATGTGAAAATTGTAAACAAATGTTCTGCCTAAAAATGTGGATGATTTTAAGCCTTGTGTTGAGATTAATCGCTATACATAATACAAAGTACGATACTGGTAGCCACGGCTACTAGACCAGCAACTAGACACCAATTGCCATACATAATAGGGCCATTGGACTCTCTCTTCTTATTGTGGCATAAAACGTCTCGCTTCCCTCTTCAGATCCCTATAGCGGCCCCACATAACGCGCGTTGCGCCCGATCGCAGCGTGGCCATGTAGGCGGCATCTTTTTTCTCTACAGCTTCCTGACACTCCTCATCGTACCAGTTGTTCTTTCGGGCTCGCTGAAATCCGACTACTTCTTCGGCGGCGGTACTTAATGAGCGGGAGATGTGGTTCCACTGCTCGCATATGTCGCATATGTTTTATGCGGAACAAAAAATGCCTTCGCGTATTATATACATATATATGTAGATGGATAAGCGACTTTAATTTTAAAATTTATCTCATTTTAGACTATTTTAAGTAGGGAAGCATACAAAAAAAAAAAAAATGTAACATCTTTCGTCTGACGGCATTCGGGTGTGGGGCCTTTTGGTATCTAACCAATAACACCAAGCATCCTTGCACAATCAGCTTCAACCAAGGGTACGTATGTAAAGGTGTTTTCAAATGGTCAGTTTGAATTACGTCTCTCAAGGCGGATTCATTGTTTTAGTTCAGAACATTTCTTCCATGGGGTTTTTGTGTTTTTCTCTCTTGGAGGGCCACTGAGGAAAGTTCTGAACGCTTTTGAGTTGTTAACTCAACTTCAACTTACTTTTTTCGTCTGTTGATAGATCCTGTTCGGAACTATAGATAAATGCCTTATGAGTTGCAAGTAATTTAAAGACCGAAATGAACTTTCAGCGACAGTATGTTCCATTCTCAGAAATATGAAAAAATTTTATGAAAAAGATAGAGAATGTACATTAAATTGGGGGTTCGTTATTAGTCTTTCGTACAAATTTAAGGCATTTCAATTAAATTTTTACGTTTCACTTATGTATACGTAGTTAATTATATTAGTTATAACGATGTAGTGTACAGCCGATTGGCGTAAATGAATGCATATAAATAAATAAATATTATTTTTGCAAAAGGCAAAAGTATGGTTGATTTAAATCACCTGCTGCTGCTTAAAATGCTTCGGTTCAGTGACTAAGTCGAGGCGATTGTCTTAAAAGATCATTTGAGTTACGGGAAGAAGTTGTGCAGTTTTTAGAAACTGAGTATATAAAAAAATGCGAAATACAGAAAACTTTTCAATAACGGCCTACTTCAGAATTTAATTGAAGAACGCCCTATTTCAAAATTCGCTTCAGAAACATATATGTAATACTTCTATATTGGCAGTAAGCTAACTTCTCAATGTGTAAGCATTCCGAAATCAAAGCGAGACAGTCTAGTACCGTTTTTGTCAATGTATTGTGTACTTGAGTGCCGTTTT